TGCCGTCCAACTGCTCCTGATAAATCAAGGGAGTTGGATCTCGCAAGAAGAGCCAGCGCAGGAAGCGCAGGACTGGACCTCAGTGCCACCTCCAGACTCGTATTGACTCCACAGATGGGAGTCCAAGTAGTTGAATCTGACTTTATAGGACCTCTTCCGGATGGTATGGTGGGGCTATAGATTGGCCACAGTTCCACTACAGTAAGAGGATTAATTATTCATCCAGGGGTCATTGATTCGGACTATACAGGAAGAATTGGCATTATGGTGTCATCTCCCAAAGGCATATCACTTATCAGTCCCGGAGATCGTATCGCGCAACTACTTATTCTCCCTAGTAAGCATGCTGCCTTCCCTTTAAGAAATAACGTTAGAGGAAGTAAGGGTTTTGGGCCTTCAGGAGGCCCACAAGCATGGATTAATCTTGATATGGTAAATAGACCCCTGACCACCCTGTCCGTGGAAGGTAGAAAATTCACAGGGCTCTTGGATACAGGAGCAGATAGAAGTATCGTCAATCTCTCTGATTGGCTGAAGAGCTGGCCTTTGCAGCAATCCTGTCAGACCCTTAGGGGGCTAGGTTATGCCCAGGACCCTCAGTGCAGTGCACGGTTTCTAAAACGGACTGATGATGAAGGTCATGAAGGTGCCTTTCAACCATTTGTGATGCAATTACCAATTTCTCTATGGGGGCAGGATATACTGCAAATGATGGGAATAAGAATGGTTTCTGATACAGAATATAGTCCTCAAAGCCAAAGAAATATGCAGGCAATGGGCTATAAGCAGGGTAAAGGTCTAGGAAAAAAATTGCCAAAGCATTGTTGAGCCTATTCAAATAAGAAAACGCTCCCCCCGATCAGGTCTGGGTTTTTCCTAGGGGCCATTGAGCAAGTTCCTATCACGTGGAAAACATAACAACCGGTCTGGGTTCCTCAATGGCCCCTTTCAAAAGAAAAGCTATTGGCTGCCCAGGACCTAGTACAAGTACAATTAGATGCAGGGCATATAAAAGAATCTACATCCCCTTGGAATACGCCTATATTTGTAATCAAGAAGAAATCAGGCAAATGGCGACTCCTACAAGATCTTAGAGCTGTAAATGAGTGTATGGAGATCTTCGGTCCAGTGCAATTAGGCCTCCCCTTGATCTCCGCCCTGCCTAAAAATTGGCCCTCACCTGTAATTGATATAAAAGATTGTTTCTTCTCCATACCGTTACATCCCAATGATACTAACAAATTTGCCTTTACTGTACCCTCCTTAAATCATTCCTCACCCGATGTCCGGTATGAATGGACGGTCTTGCCCCAAGGCATGGCCAACAGCCCAACCTTGTGTCAGCTCTATGTGGGTAAAGCTATAAGCCCTCTGAGGAAGACTTTCCCAAATGCAGCTATCTATCATTATATGGATGACATATTGTTATGCACGCAAAATAAGCAACTGTTGCGGACATGTTATGTTGTCTGAGGTCGGAATTGCAGAAATGGAAGTTGAGTGTAGCCCCGGAAAAAATTCAATTGCAAAACGTTAAAGAATACTTAGGGACCCGATTAGATATGGCCCAGATTAGGCCTCTTAAAATGACAATTCAGGTAGATCACCTTAAAACATTAAATGATTTTCAGAAGCTTCTTGGGGACATTAATTGGATTCGACCTTACTGCAAATTAACCAACACTGAATTAGCTCCACTGTTTCAGATATTGCAGGGAGATTCTGACCTTACCTCTCCTAGAGAGCTCACTGATGAAGCGAGGGCCTGCATTCGAAAGGTAGAGCTACGCTTGGAACAGGCCCAGGTAGACCGTGTAGATCCCAATCTGCCTCTGTATTTATGTATCATAGCTTCTGATCGGTCACCTTCGGGAGTCCTATGGCAGAATGGACCTATAGTATGGATATATTTGGCTTATTCCCCAAAAAGGATGTTGTCCTATTATCCAGAGGACATAGCAAAATTGATACAAAAGGGACTAAGGATTAGCGTGGAAGCATTAGGCAAGCAACCTGATGTTGTTATAACCCCTTACACACTGGCCCAGATAAAAACACTGGCTGCTTGTAATGATGAATGGGCTGTGACAGTAACTAGTGCCACTGGAAGATTTGATAATCATCTCCCTTCCTCTCCAGTTTTACAATTTGCAAGCCACAACCCCTTGATACAGACACAGATCAGTCGTAAAACCCCTATCGCAGGAGCACTCAATATTTATACAGATGGGTCCAAAGGAGGAGTGGGCTCCGTATACATAGAAGGACGCCCTCCTGAGGTACATATTTTCCCCTTTGTGTCAGCCCAAGCTACGGAGCTTGCAGCAGTTTTGACAGTTTTTACTCAAGTCCCTCAGCCTTTTAACCTCATTTCAGATAGCCAGTATGTTGTTCAGAGCCTACAGATTTTAGAAAATGTGGGAGCCCTGCGAAACAACTCCCAAGTTTTTGAATTATTCGCCACCCTACAACATCTGATTTGGCAGCGCAAAGCACCTTTCTGTGTCATTCATACCAGGGCCCATACTGGCCTCCCTGGACCTGTGGCTGAGGGTAATGCAAAAGCAGATTTGGCCACCAGAACAGTATTTGCCTTTTTGTCTAGCACCCCTTTGGAGTTGGCGACGTGCTTTCATTCCCTATTCCATGTCAATGCTCATACTCTTCAGGCAAAATTCAAGCTTACAAGGGAGCAATCCCGACAAATTGTGCTGCTATGCAAGAATTGTGTTTCATACCTTCCTTCTAGATCCGTGCGGGTTAATCCGTGGGGCCTTAAACCAGGAGCATTGTGGCAGATGGATGTAACCCATTTTCCTGAATTTTGTACTTTGAAATACGTCCATGTCTCTATTGATACCTACTCAGGTGTCATTCATGCCTCCACTCAGGCAGGAGAAGCGGCTAAGCATGTTATATCCCATTGCTTGCAGGCTTTTGCTGCTTGGGGCCAACCAATGCACATTAAAACTGATAATGGCCCAGCTTATTGTTCCTCGAAATTTCAGTCATTCTGTGCTACTCTTAACATAGCGCATTCCACCGGTATACCATATAACCCACAAGAACAAGGCATAGTTGAGAGAGCCAATGCCACATTAAAAGCTTGTCTATTAAAACAAAAAGGGGGAATAGGGGAACAGTTCAGATCCCAAAAGGACAAATTAAATATTGCTCTTTTTACACTCAATTTTTTAAATTTGGATGTCAATGGCTGTTCCCCCGCAGAACGTCATATGTCGCTGAGCCAATCACATCCAGTTCAAGTATATTGGAAAGATGTGCTTACAGGCACATGACAGGGGCCCTCACCAGTCATGGCCTGGACCAGGGGGGTGGTTTGCATTTACCCACAGGACAAAGAGAAACCTATCTGGGTCCCTGAACGGCTGGTGAAACCCAGAAGAGAGCAGAATGTTGAGGATGCTCCTGCCGCTATGCTTGAGCCTGATGATGATGACCGGACTGAGCCACATCGGAACAGTGTGTAACTTATGGGGAATATTGAAAGCATTCCCCCTCCCTCTACCTGTCAGTCATGATGCCAATATATTTCCCAGGATCTTTACTACCAATGCATCTCTGGGACTCCCTATGATTAGATATGAAGGCCGTGTGGAACCATTTGCAATATATAATGTGACCCTCAGTGGGGCTTTATGCTTCTCTGTGAGAGATGAGACCAATGGTTCTTGTATTAATTTTATATCTAACAGTATGGGCAAATTCCAGCTGAAGTCCTGGAACAGTACCACTGGCAATGCCAGTATCCTGCAAGGAGTGGTACCAAGACTTATTTCAAAATATTCTGCTACAGACAACAGATCTGCCCCCC